ACGACGACGCACAGTGGCAGCAACCGCACCGCAAGGAGTCACGGTGCGCTATTCTAAAACTCCCTAATAACGCTGCTGCTGAGAAGGAACTAAGCGTGAAAATCTTGGCGGGCTACCGCACGCAGTTATTCACATTACATGCACGCTACTGTTCACAGGGGCATAGAATGTTTTTTATAAAATTAGATTTTCATATTTCTCTTAACCTTTACTTGATCCTTCCTGAAAGACTTGAAAATGAGGGATAGTTGACGAGGAGGTAGGCTAGATTTCCGTGTTTCTAAACGTCAAAACCGAACATACAGTAGGAGCAGCAATGTAATCGCCTCCCCGGAATGATGCTATACCAAGTCAATAGGACGGTACAAGAGCAGTGCATGCATATAGACAAGGCGAACACTGTCACTCTCGCAGAATGCCCTGACGTAGCACAAAGTCGTTACCAGAGTCAGCCAACTCAGTGGCCCGTTGTTGCAAATATATGCAGATACCGAGAGCATTATACCGAACATAGTCGTACTGCTAAGTCCTAGCACTGTCAGTAAATCATGCATAGAAGCTCGTAGCTGATTACAGGTAGCAAATGCGAATGCCGCCAGCGTACACTGCTCTAGACAAGAGCGATTGAGACTGCACGAGTAGCACGTGTTACGAAGTGAACATGTGTGCCTTCAAGTCAATGTGAACAAGCAAATAGCTTGAAGTACGCTAGTTGCCATCAACGATGCACGCCCCAGTAGGCTGGAACAAAAACCTCGACACCAGATTTTTCGCTTCGGTCGCGGTTAAAAAAAGGACACAGGTAATGAAATATAGACCAAAAACAATCGTTCTTGCTTATAACATCTTTAAGCCACACTCACCTTATTCAGCAAGGGGGCAGAACAGCTCGGGGCCAGCAATAGAAGAAAAATGGTGATGGCAGCTACGTACGTTTGTGAGCAATATGAGTTCGAACGCGCGAGGGCGTGGCCAAGAGCCTCAAAATGCCGATAACGTGAAACGAGGATGGCGCTGCCGAAACTGGAGGGGAAAGGAGGGCGCTCTTCCGCTGACTGTTGGCACTTTCGCATCACCATACGCATGATCGTTGCTGTTAAACGGCAGCTTATCGCGTGTTTTCTGACACTAGGAATGATAACACGAAAATGAAAAAATTCACCAAAAACAAAGATGCATTCAAAATGCTTAGCGAACAGCATCTGAATGTAATAAAAGCACGGCCTGTGCATCACGGCCGGCTACGTCACAGCCGATGTTTTGTAGCTTGATATCTCGCTAGGTCAACTGGTTGTGGATGTGCGCGTTGAAGTGAACTCATACCACCGACAGCAGCCACTAGCAGCTGACACGCCATAGCCTGCGTTCTGCAGCAACGATATCGAGGAAGGAGTGTCGACAGCTAGCGTAAGCGCGCTGCCCTTTCCACTTTGTTTCCCACAGCGGCCGCTGCAAATCAGACGATATAGGGTTCGAGGCTATTAGAGACGCGTTCGCGTGTTCGAGCTCATATTGCTCACGATAATACATCAACCTTCGTGGTCCTCGCACCAGTGCTTTTGTAACATTCGGGCTGGTACACACTACATACACAATCGTAAGCACGCTGAAATCGAACGCCTCACCACACGTCTCGACCCGCTTCGACTGACGTCAGTGCCTCTAAGAGTTGGAGGAAGTGTGCTTGCTGCAGCTAACGATACAAAGGGCGCAATCCGATTTCACTGGCTCATTTCTGTTGCACTTTGGAGTGACCGGTAGGTGAAACACACTCACTTGGCAGCCCTGCTTACGCCACACTTCGCTAGCGGCTGCATCTTCACGCACACCGATGAAATTCATCGCCGTATGCTAATCTCGGCCATCAACCATTGCGTGGGACAGCTCATGCACCCTTCGAGTCTGAAATCTCGGCCACCAGTTCAAGGAAACGATACATTGGTAACGCACAGGAAAGACACGTTCATGGCGTTTATAAAGGTTGGCCCTGTAAATAAATATGAAATGCATTGAACACGTGCTCAGTCTGATTTACCACTATATCATTTCGAACGATGCGCGAGTTGTCGCACACAGTCGCCGATTGCCGAGATAAGCACAGAGCAACAAATATCCCAGGTGGCTGCGGGGGCGTAGCCACGGGCAAAACATGGCGAAAGCGGACCCGCTAAATTATAGTATTCCACCTACCACTGAGGCGGACAGTAAGCGAAGATCTGCCCTAGTTCCATCGCTTGTGAGCTGCAGCAAACATACCGCGTCCTGACGCTTGGCGCCGCTGGCGTTAATGAAGCGAGACGAGGCCCCGTGGCGGAGCATTCATGTTAAGCCGGTTAAGCGTACTGATTGCGGCATTACTGGCACGAACAGAATAATTCCGAGTTCCGTGAAGGCGTTCCACTTGCCATGGCTCACCGGCGAAGTATAGAGCAGCAAAAATCAAACTAATATCTGGGCACGCGCGTTATACTTTATTGCATTTAGCGAGAAAGAAAAAAACTAGCTTAAATCTGCTTTCTTCCGCTGTTGTTGCGTGGTGTATATGTGTATCTTGTTATCAATCAGGCCCTTCGATGTGCTCACGGCTGCATCAGGGGAAACGCCGAGCTTCGCCAGCACTAATCGCAATCATGCACTGCAAAAAGAAAAAAAAAAAGCTGGATAGAAAGGCCAGATATGCGCCAACGATGCGACGATTGCAGAAACAGAGGAGATGGTTGCCTTCCCCTTCTCGTCACCCTCACTTCTTTACTTCTCTTTTCCAACTATTACTACACTATGCATGGTTATCTTATGTTACACCATATCTACTTCTGATTAACCTCCTTTTCACCTTTTTTTTTTGCACTACCTGCTATGCTGTTCTTTACTTCCTGTCTCCCTCTTTTCATTCCTGGATTCGCTCACACTGCCACGCTCTCTTTTTTTCCCTATTCCTTTGATATATTATCCTACACATGGCTTATGCTATGCTTTAGCCTCCCTATCTCCATTTCTCTCCTAACCGTCACATCATTCCTCATTGCCCTCGCTTCCCTTCCCCCATACCTTGCTGTCCTATACGACGCATGGATATGCCATGCTTTACTATCTGTTTCCGTTGTTTCTGTTCCGCTCACCCTAATATCGCTCAGCCTCTAATAACTTTCGTTCCATTCCCCTTGCTCTCTACTATACTTTGCAGGGTTTATATCATGCTTCACGTTTTCCCCTCTTCCTCAATCTCATATCGCTCATCCTCACATCTCTTACCGATGTATTGCTGTACTGTACTGCGGTATGCTATAGTACCTTACTGTAGTTCAGTATGCAAGGGGTGGCTTAGAGCATATAAATGGCTTTAGTATGCGCTGTAGCATAAACTATACTAGATTTACCCTCTCTTAACATGGCGAGAGTGAGAGAGGGCGTGCATTTCCGAGCAACGCTTGCCGAACTTAAAGCTTAAACAGCTCAGATGTTATATATATAGTGAGCAATTTTTCTAAATACGCTTATCCAGCACACGAACACACATGGTCCAACTCTTGATTATGTTTCACTAATTTTGTGCGCCCAAGCGCCAATCGAAACACCTAGGTACCTAACTCCATGCGTTTCGATCAAGGTGGTGCCAATCTAGATGAACCGCGGGACGAGGACTGCTTGCCTGGAAGACCGCGCACGCGCAGACCATGGCATTATTTGATTGCATGTCTTTGTATCACTTCATTCACCTGCCATTTTTATTGTTTGTTTAAGAGGCCGCTAAACAAGACACTCACTATGAAGAGCATTTTGCCACGTACGTCACTGCATCTTTGAAGCATGAAACCATCGCTTTCTTTATTGTGTGGCTTGGCTCCGAAAGACAAAATATTTTGCGTCAGACAATGTCAGCAACGTAGGCGTCAAACAAGTCTGTTGAAACACAACACGATAGTTCGTTGTAGCCATGTGCACGATCCTCGGCGTCCGGTGCACAATGATCACGTCACGTGTGCACTTATACCCGTCCAAGGACCTTCCGTGAAGCTAAGTCGAGTCAAATCTCACTGTGCAGGAGGCAATGCCGATGATTTTCTTCGTGCGTCAGGTGTCTGCGAGTCCAAAAAATTGAAATATTTTATCCACAAACATCGAAGCATAAGCGGAATACCTGTTTTACTGAATGTGTAACCATGAAACGATGACGCACCTTGAACATGATAATAACCATGACGTTGGCTATTAGTATCTTCTTCCATATGAAGGGGCAAATAGCAGTCACCTAGCCCGTAATCTAGAATCATATATTACTACAGTTATTAGTCTAATATGCTCGCAGCGTCATCTTCCGTTTTAATCCATGGACGCTTGTTCATATTTATTGGGAGGTTCATTCTTCTAACGATTCTTGATCCAATCTCGTAGCCGCTATTTATTCACCAGTACTCCAACCCTGCCCTTGCTCACGACGGACTCTGACCTGGGAATACTTACCACCTGCTTCGACAAACTCACAACCTCTCAAAGGCGCGCACCTTCCACATACCCTGTATATGTCTCGAGAGAACACTTTTGCATGCAATTACAATTGTTTGTGATTATCATCAAAATGACGATAATTTTTAACTCTCGCCCCTTGAAATGGGTCGGACATAACAGTGGCCTAGCTGATGTAGTCAACGTGCTTAAAACGAATAATATAGCGGCGCAATATCCGGTATGTCAGCTAAATCGCGTCCTTGTGCGTCATATAGTGCGTCAAACAGTGCGTCATGGTAGGCTGCAACATTTCACCAACTAGTCTCAGTGAACACGAAGCCAGGAAAGTGACGTCAGCTCGGAGTACCGCGTTACGAAGACATCCAGTGCGTTTCCTTTCCGTTGCAGTCGCGATCGATAGCTGCACTCACACGATTTAACTGGTAATTATAACACACGACGCGCAAGGCGATGTTATCGCCCTTGGACCTGATACGGAACCACATGGCTACAGCGTATTTGCGCCTTGGGTATCTACGCAATTTCACTCACATTACAGATGCAAGTCTGAAATTTGCGGTTAGATGAAGTTTTGCAAGGTGTCACAACCATCGTGGGGCAACCATGCATTTCGATAACACTGTTGCTTTATATACACGCGTATAACAGACGCGCTGACTCTCTCTAGTAGCTGTGCGATAGCATTGCATGTCAGGCTCTGTCGTCGTGTTTGCGGTGACGCACTGGCGTCACGCGAAGACCACGTAAAAGAACCAGTAGAAGACGTTCAGAAACACGAAGCTCGTGGGAAAAACCACGCGCGACACTCTGTCGATGAGCAGAGCCCGAAGTCGGCCTTGTTCTCTCCAGCTTGGCTCGGACGGATTATCCAGATCCTGCAACAAATAGAAATTTGTTTAAGGCCAGTTTGTCGAGGTATAAAAGTAATGAAATTGCTGTTTCGCCATGAGGCCGAAGCAATGAATGCGTTTGAAGCAGGTTGGAATGTTATACAAAATAAAGCTAACAGCTTACTCAGTTAAAATGCAATATCGCCTAATTATACAACGCGCTTGCGTTAAGAGAATACGGCCGCTCCAAGTAGCGAAGCGGTTTTAACATTCTGTGTCACTTCGACGTGAAGCAAACGTAGGAGAACAGGAAGTACACGGGTAGGAGCTATCTACTGACGTCTGTCATGATAACGCGAGTCAGCGGACGGAGCGACACCTATTTGATCAAAGTTCACAGTGGCTACCCGAGCGACGTGCTTCACGCAAGGAACCTTTCAGGCTCCTTTAACTGATAGAACGGACCGTTATGTTTCATCTCTCTCCTTCCCTCCTTCTGGTGTTTTCCCATGCTTACTCTCTTACATACATGCGATGCACTGGGCGATGTTGTTTATTTCAACGTTATACGGAAAATGACAATGATGGAGACGTTAAAAACAGAATTGCAACAAAATATATAACGAATATGTGTACAAGCGTACACTTTGGAAGAATAGCCTGGAGTTTTACGTGGTGAGATGAAGTGATGGTCCGAGAATTTTCCGTTGTCCGTAGACTTCACAGTGTTTCTATACTACGGGTTACAGGAAAAGTGTATGTCGTGACAAAGGACTAACAAGTGAGCGACATGGTGCTCATTTGTGATTTAATGTGTAACACTCAACAAGGTCGAAGAATATACAAAAACAACAAACAGTGATGTCTTGGTGTGTTTTTGTTCCTGCCAGGTATGGCCCACTGAATGCCCTATATGTGATGGGCGGCGCTGGTGGCAACTCCAAATGAGTCAGCGCAAAATTAAAAGACACAGAAAGCTAACATACCAGTAGATTAGACGCTCTACTGAGTCGTTGGTGTAAGGTATTGATTCTCAAGCAATCAATGACTCAGAGTACTCTCATTTTTTCTTCTCTAGATGAGGGCCGAAAATTGGAAGATTACCAATACAACACACAACAGAGTAAAAGCTGCAAAAAATAAGTTTGAGGCCTCACATATGTTCTCTTCGTGAAATAGACATAAGGTATCGAGTACACCTAATAGAATACTAGCCAAGGTTTAGTTTTCTTGTTTAGTAGATCGTGTACTGTTATAGACAATTAAAATAGGACCAAGATGTAGCACTAACTCAAGCACATTTTCTCGCATTTGTTTTTGCCAGAACGCTTTGCATATGTAGCATTGCGCTTCACTAAAACAACTTTTCATACCCGTGCTGTTAGGCACCGACGCGTTATGGTGCTCTCGAGTTAAGGCATCCAAAGACTGTTTGACCTTCGTATTTTTTGTTCGCGCTGAATTCCTTAGTGGCTGTACACCGTATCCACGAACTCACCCCACGTCTTCGCACTACGTCGAAGTGCTTGTAGCCGTCTTCGAGTATGACGTTCACGACGGCGTACTCCATGAGCGAGGCGAACACGAACACAGTGCAGGAGGACATGAAGATGTCGATGGCCTTGATGTACGACACGGGAGGCAGGTCGGCCTGGCTCTTGGCGTGTTGCGTGCACAGGGTGAGGAGGCTGGTGACGCCCAACGTCACCCTGGCCGGCACAGCTTCCGGCTTTATCCAGAACGAGACCCAGGACATGACGACAATCAGGCAGGTGGGGATGTAGGTGTGGAACATGTAGTAGCCCAGTCGTCGCTTCAGCTTGAACGTGAGCTGGAGGCAGGTGAAGTTACCTGAAAATACAAAGGAACGTGTTTTTATTAAATAAAAAAATTGACGAAGGAGTTGTCATCGAATACTTGGTGACGGCCTACCACTTTCCACTTGTTTGTTGCGAAAGAAAAAATTGAGAAACGAAAATATTACACTTTGCATAAATACACAAATTTATAGACGAGTTCAAAGCTTTTGTTTGAGCAGACCAAACACATGGTCAGTATGCAGACTTTCAATCGAGTCCACTCAATATAGATAACAATAATCGGCGTCTTCAAAGAAACGTTGGAGCAGTGCGTATATTCGTCTATGTATTCATTTGTCTATTGGGAAAACCGAAACAAGGAGGAATGTAAGCAGTGAAAAAAAAACCCATGGCACTCCATAAGTTTTCGAACTACATAGGTTGAACTTAAGCACTTTCTCCACAAATCTATGGAGTTGACCTTCATCCCTGGCTTCGTTGAGCCGTAGTGGCATTCGCACGTCAGCGTTCATCTTCCACGGTGGACCTGCAACCTTGGGTCAACATTGTATTTTACGCGATGCGGCAACGGATCTCGGAGGCCATGGAGAAAGAAGAGCGAGATTCCGATGCGATACGCTACACCAGGTACTGCTACGACCTTTGATTCTCACGATCTTTCAATGGACTCAATGGATTTTTTTTTAAGTGGCCATGCCAAATGTTAACAGGTCTTCATAATAACGTTATCGTAAAATATCATTTGTACATATAATAACTCCGCATAGAACGTGAGTCGTATATTTTTATTTTTGTGAGACCTTTCATGGTTATTCCTAAAACGGAAGCAAGGGCTCGACCAGTTTCGCTAGGGAACAAAACAAGCGCGCGAATTGGTGCCCGTACACCCGCCACGGTGGTATACTGGTTATGGCGTTCGACTGCTGATGCGCCGGTCGCTCATTTGGATCCGGGCTGCAGTAGCGCCACTTTCAATGGAGGCAAAAAAGCTTGAGTGCCTCGTACTTAGATTAACGGTGCACGTTAATGAACCCCACGTAATTGAAATTTTTGAAGCCCTCAACTACGACATCTCTCATAAATACACCGTAGTTTAGAAACGTCAAACTCCACGATTTATACTAATGTCGTTATTTTTGCCCGAACCACTACATGTAATTGAAGAGGGAACGGCTTTAAAAGAGGGTCCTGTTGTGAGGGCCATATTTTCTCTCTACAAAATTTGTTCGTTTTATTTTTCGCGATAGTTCCAAAAGGTGTCCTAAGCAGCCTTTTTTCTAAGAAAAACATACATTGGTTTCAGCCTGCAGGACATTTTTATTGACGTAGGTACTATTACCTGTCGAATAGGACTCCGTACAGTCTTGTGGGTCGGTGTACTCTAGGTCGAGCTGAGGCAGGTGAAAATCGGTGTGTACCACGGGTGGATCTCGATCGTTCCACTCGAATACCAGGTCGTCAGTCGTATGCGACACTGAAAAATAAAAATTCAAGAACAACTTATATCTCTAATAATGGATGGCAAGCGAAGCCTTGTAGGACGCAGTTGAGTTGGTGTGCATTTATTCATTTACTTTCTACTTTATTTATATCTTTATTTATATTCTGCTGATGATTTATTTTATTGTTTCTTCGACATATTGATTTCACTCTTTTGTTTATAATTATTTATTACTATTTTATTTTTATTTTTGGACGACTGCTGACTAGTAGGCTTAGTAGTAGATAGTGGTCGTAGTAGGGACCAGTGGTAAGTATTAGTGCTTAGCGATTCTGTGGCTTATACCCAGTGCGTCTTTTGCGTAATTCGGTAATTCTTAACTCGGTAACTGCTCATGGAAATGTCCATGTTACTCATAACTCCGAACGTCACAGTAACATGAAAAGATTTGCCCAGTTTGACAGCTTTTGTTTGATCTCAGTCTGGCTAGTTATGGTAATTTTTCATGTAAAAACAATGATAATTTTTGCAGAGTAAGCAGCTGTGCATGGATTTACGAGTGGCCTTTTCACGTGCGGCTTCGCTGTTATATGACAGAAAATGCGTTTTGCCTTGAAGATACGAAGCCCGTTAGACATTACCGTACTTGAATTGATTAAGCATAAATCGCAGTGCCTCCTTTATATTCGGAGTAGTGGTACGCTTGTCAACTGATCAAGACACTCTAAAGGTGCCGCCAACCTGTAAGGTACTTAGAAATGCTAAATATATATTTGTATGGTTATGCTAGACAAATAAGGGCACCTGTGATTACCACTGAAAGTCTTCCGCATGGAAAACAAGTGGTCACTGCAAATCCAGCTGCTATGACTTCTCGAACGCGAAAGAACTCAAACGCAGTAGATATACCAAATGGTGCCCATTAATTCAAGCGCACGAGATTCACCCTTCTACGCCGATTTACGGATAGTTTCGTACCTAAATGGAGCTTTGCGGTATAGTTGTAATCATGAGCAGTTATGTTCAGGGCGGCGTGCTACGCCCTTTGCTTAGCCGGACTAAGCAAATGCATGTGTAGTTGGACTTTGTAGTAAAGAGCAAACTTTCGTCCACAAACATCATAGTTTGAGGTTAGTTTATTAGTTTCACTTTCAAAATTATTTATATATGCGCCACTGTGTATTCATTATCGCGGTAGCAATCGTATGGAGTTTTGAGGCGAATTTACGCAGTTGCCGTGGCTCTTACGTGCTGAATGAAGTCCAAGTCGATCACATCGCCGCACACGTGGCATGTTCTGTGTGTCAACGAAAGCTTGCGAAATCTGCTGATGTACGCGCTACAAGCAGAGATGAAGCGCACCGGCCGGTTATACAGTGGGCGAAGGAGCATGAAAGCACCCCGCAGGGCGGTACGGACGCTGCGTTTTTTAGGCAGTAAATGTGAACTTTCATCCAAAAGGCGTAATTGAGTGGGCTATCTCGACAAATATGACGAGCATTCTCGTGTACAACGAAGGAAATTACACAAAAGTTTCCTTCGTACTTCGCACACGAAACCAAAACTGCTTGTTTTTTGGGAATTATCTCTTCAAAGATCCCCAAAAGAGAAGAACACCATTATCGTAGCATTTTTTTTTAGTTGGGAGCCACAAAGAACGAGTTTAACTAAAGTCGTGGGGGACGCTGAGGCGGCTTCAAACACCATATCTTCGTAAACCTATTTCTGTTAACGTCACAATCTGGGCCCCAATCATTTGTAATATAGTGACAAATGTCACTTCGCGAGCACACTTGAAAAAAATTTCTGGGTAAATAGTTCTTTTTAGAATTTTTACAACCAATGAACCCTGATGAGCAAATTAGGTGCTCCTTCGTGGCTCAGTGGCTAACGCCGCGCACTCACTAGCTGATGACCGAATTAGACGCCGACTTACTCAATACGTAAACGATTTCAACGCTGGCTCAATTTTCGGTGTGTGGCTTTCTCAGGCTACAAATGTTAAGAAAACATGAAAAAGCAAGCTTTCCTCATAACTTTAATATAAGAAGGAAGCTTTGAAATCAAGCTGCCAAGCTTCAGAAAAGTGCGGATTCACCATTCTCAAGAAAGTGGCCCACGTGTTTTTTGAGCGAAATAGAAGATAAAAAAGGCCTGGGAGAAAGAATAAGACGTAGAGGGCACGTGCAAAGTCCCGATGACGATTAGACACCGTTAGATAGAAGGCCTATCCCCGGAGCAGCTTGCGCCAAATTTCGACTGACCGACCAACTGACCAGCCGACCAACCATGAAAAATTTTAGGAGGTAAGTTTTTAAAATTCCACGGCTGAAAGCACAAGAGGGCTTCAACCCTTTTGCGTTCTATGCCCTCCCCGCTTGCTTCAAGTTAAGGCGACAGGTGGCACAAAAAACAGCTCTCTCCCTGGAGCGGCCCTATTTCTTTACGCCAGCATTTTATACTGTTAAACAAAACGCAATCCTGAAGGAGTTGTCTGGTAGACGGATTTCGTACCCCGTTCTAATTTATTGCTACCCTTTGGTTGTTTTGCCGTACCGGTGAAACTGTGAGAAATTTTTTCTTTACTTTCCGCTGGGCAGCAAACAACGGGAAACAGAGTAGCCGAGGGACTATTTTCATCACACTTGCTGCATTGAGTACGTGGATAAAACAAGAGAAAAGGAAATGATTTCGACTTACGGCTTTCCATCGCAAAGAACACGTCTGCGTGTCGTGCGGGTAGGAGGCGAAGTTCATTGCGC